ATTTTATCAGTACCATATTCATTTGGCAAACAATGGAAATAAACGATAAACGATCATGTTGCATAAATAAACAAGATTTAATGAACGGTTTAGGTGTGATCAAATGATGCATTCTTACAAGTTTTACTATTTCCTTAGGGATCAAAGTCTTCAAAAGTGGGTAAAATACATAAAAAAATATTTAACAATTAATGATTGAGGCTGAGTATCGTATGAAGAATTATGGAAATCGAGGAGGGTGTTATTCGTGGAGGTCGTAGGCCGAGGCAGATAACATCCTCCGAGATCTCCATAATTCTTCATATGATACGAAAGCCGAATTCAATAATTGTTTTATTATTCATTCAAAATAATTCCTAGTTTAAACACATAGCTAAAACAAGCTTACCTGCGTCGATGTTAAGTTTATCTTCGATAGTTTACGCCCAGTTTAGGTTTGTCCAGCTCCGCAAATATTCTCCAAATAGCAGATGTCGCCCCCCGAGTTGTCTTCTTGCTGTTTTTACTATGTTTTTAGCCATTATTTCGGCTAGTTCCAGCTGTAGTTCTTACTCTTGAAACGAGTGAAGTGTCTGCCATTTTAATTTTTACAATGAAAACAACTTAATCTCGTCCCCAGGTCGTCTCGGTTGACGGTGGATTAACCTGAAGAAGGCTGCATTTTTGACGTCATTTCCTCGTCAAACACAAAATTCTTCCAAATTTGGTCATCAGTAACTGGTTATGGTGAAATATGTGTGTGCTTTTAGCCAATCAGAATTGGGGAAATATTTTGAATGAATAATAATAATAATTAACAAGCGTTTTTACTCATTAACTGAGATTTTCCGACAACCGACAAAAATCGAAAAGTTTAACGACTACCGACAAAGTTACTGAATTTTAACCGACGAGTGGACCCCCCCATTCAGACCCTCTTATTACAGGTTGCTTTTTATTTATACATTTATTAAGTACATAAATTGTTTTTTTTTGTTCATTAGGATCCCTCTGTAGGTGACAAAAATCAACCTACATTTCACCAAGTGGCCGTTCAAAGAAAGGTTTGCAGTAATTTCGTTGCTATCCTGAGCATAATCCAGTCTAGCATCTATGAAAACTTGACTAAATTACTCTATAACCTTTTTTAATTAAGGTCTTACCCTTCAGGAAGTTTGCATGTCCCCATTTTTGTCTGAAGATTAAAATTAAGCTATTTTGATCATATTTTCGGTTTGGGTGCAGCTTCAGCAAAAAGTGGACCGGGTAATTCCTTACAAATTTCCCGGAGGGGGGGCATAACTTGGATATGTAAGATTTAGAACAATTTTACATCTTCATTGTCTTACGCCAGCAGCTTGTCTTTTTGAACAAGTATATATTTTTTTCTCTGAACCAAGTTGACCAAGACCGTCTTGAGGAGTGCGTCTTTCATTCTTTAACTCGTCTTTGAGACGGCTAGACGCAGCGTTTAGTTGTTACGTTTTTTAATGTTTGGTACCTCGATACGATAAATTGTGTGTGTTATGAACAACTAATTACTGGATAAAAAAGCATAAACCAGATTTCTTTTTTCACCGTATACAGGCCCATTCTCAAGATGTTAATGGCGTGAAATGGCACCCTAAAGAATCAGGTCTGTTAGCTTCATGTTCTGATGATGGTACAGTCAGCATGTGGAGATTTATACCAGAAGATTTCATGACCTTCACCTGCAACTCTGATAAATACCTACCACCCTTATGCTCGAAATTCTTCAGATCATAGATTCACGTACGAGATTTAGATCGATATTTACACCGAACGGGAAACATTAGGACGAAATCGGAGGCATACTCTCGCGACTATGTCTTTTCATACTCTAAGAAAGGACAAAGGAACTCAGCGCAGGCTACGCGGGGTGAAGTTCAGAAGGGTGTTGCAAAGGGCGGTGGCAGCTTGGATTACGCTTCCAAGAAATACTTCAAATGTTACATTCTTTGTGGTAAACTAGTGAAGGTTAACTTCAAGAAGGAAAATGCTCGATTACATTTTTTTTAAGTAGTTAAATAATCTGGTACCGAGGTGTCTTGGTACCTTACAAGAAAAAGGGCTTTGCTAGCCTGTGGGGGCGTCTGTACACAGGCTAAGTTTCCCAGAATTTGAGGTAAATGTCCTCGAAGCAATTTTAACCGTTCAAAGATTTTCAATATGACCAGAGACAGAAAAGTTCTCGAAAAATATTCACTGCTCGTTACACATGCAGGAATGCCGATTTGAATTTGACACTAGCTACAGGAACGACTAGACGATTCAGGTTCATTTTTCAAATAATCAAGTCATTAATAGAATCTTGATGGGGGAGCGGGGGGTACGCTTGACTTGTCTTGACTGTAAAAAGCGCGGGAGTGGAACCTTGCTTGATTTCAAGGTCATTCACAAACAGGTTGCATAGATAAGTGCCGCTCACTCTGCCTTGCGTTCAGTGCGTTGTCCCCTTATTTACTCCTTTCCACTCGTGAAAGTGGTTGTGGTGGACTGTACGTTGTTATCCATTATTAAGAAACTGTGATACCAGTTGATGATATAGGCATTCAGTGGCCGCAAGTTTAGTTTATTAGATAGTAGCTCGTGCCTAACTGAGTCGAAAAATAACAGTACTTACTTACTTACTATGTTTACACTATAAAGTTCTGACACATATTTCGAATCATCTCAGTTACCTTGTCACTGACGACTTTGAAAAGCTATACTCGAAAATAGGCATTCACTATTTTCGAATCGCCCATAATACACTCTGTTCCCCCCTCCCCCTCCCTCAAGTTTTGCATAAGTCATTGTTTTTAAATGCTCTTGGGAATATACAGTCTTCTCAAATTCATGTGAAACCAATAGTTTGTGCAAACAAGAGGCAAACAGAGTGTTTTGGGGATTTTGAAAATAGAGAATAAAATTATAGTATCTTATTTATCTATATATTTACAGTATTTTTATCATACCAAAACTTAGTAATAAGCTTCGCTTGAAATAACTTTTTTCAGTACCAATAGGACGCAAATTATTATTCGTGTATAGCTGACGTTTAATCACTCGCAATCGAAAGTTTTACCCAAAGTACCTTAACGAGCATGAAGAGGAATAGCAGCAGCAGCATTTTGTCTTTGCCGACATGTAAATAACAACAGGAGAGCTTTCCTGAACTCGGGCATTCTTATTGTGTAAACCACGGGATTAACAAACGAGTTTGTATAAAATAAAAGCAGTAAAGAAGAATTCAGTCGTATTCTTTTTGTTAGAGAAAGTGATCGAATGCTATCAGTTGTATAATAAACAAAGGTAGCTACAGCATATGGCAGCCACAACAGTAACGATACAATAGTCATGATGAGTAACGTTACAGTCAGTTTTCTTTGCCTACGGGCTGCACCATGGTGCTGTGGACGCGCCCCACAACAGATTTTGACGATAATTGAGGCGTAACAAGCAATATGATTGCCAGAAATACTGATGGTGTGACCATTCTTTGCCGAATAACTGAAGCATGCTAATTGCAGTTGATATCATTGCAGCTAATACCAACAGGGGTATTTTTTGCATGAGCATGCGCGACCGCTGAACAAGCGATGTGCATGGAGGCTCACCACAGGGTTTGCCTTCATCAAAATGGCGCGTCTCAAAGCTATCATAGCGATTATTTTGCTCGTGGGTCTTGGCGAATGTACTCGTGATTTAACAAAATGTGTGGTTTGCAAAAAAACTCTTACATGGTCTTAACAAAAGCGAAGTAGACCGGCTTTAACATACACGAGCTACTATCAAATTTCATCTCCCCACTTGACCTGGACAACAGCGCGCGTACATGTAGTGCCTGGAGGATTGCGCTGGCCTCATCAAAGTCTAAAAAACGTGCAAAAACGTTTGTTGATGCAAGTAAACACTTTCAATTTTCTTTGTTTTGAAATCGGAAAGGAAGAGAAATATTTAAAAAAAACATAGCAAATTTCAGCGAGTGGGTTCGAAGTGCGCGAAAGCCGATGTTCTGTTCATCAGTGAATTAATATATGTTCTACAATTTTCCCATCAGTTTAAAGCTACAAAATTAAGAGCACACGAGACGTAGATTAGTCACCTGGTGAGATGTTGGTGGTAGTCACTCTGTATGTCTCGAACAATAAAAAAAATTAATATCAATGAGACACGGTCAAAACTGCATTCAATAGGACCGAAATTAAAGTCCAATCTTGTGACAGATTTTAATGAAACAAACGGTTAGGTTTCCCAAGAGGTACAGTAAACATGTGATGCCGACCAAAAGTTAAAAATCATTAGAACATTTAACTTCTGGCTAAAAGCAAATTCCTGTAAGAGATGCGTTACAATGTTAGTCCACGCAAAAACAAGAAGTTCTACAATTTTCCTGTAAACAAACTTTGTATCGCTAAAATACTTAAGGCAAAAACTTTCTATTCCAACTGAAAACGGCGTGGTAGTCGCCCGCTAATCGTTATTAATCCACTCCCGAAATATGGCTAAATCAACTATTAACAAATAATTGACAGAAATCCTCTACGGCACCGAGAAACTGATTTACATCCGATTTATAGACAAACACTAAATAAAGAACATTTTGCTCAGTAGCTATGCATCATCAGCAATGCATTGTATGCCAAACTTTGCGGTTCTTAAAGGGGAATCAAGACGCGAGTCGAGCGCCAAACAACAACAAGCAGCCATGTTCGTGTCAGACATCCTTGATTAACTTGCTCTTTCACCTCGTTCAGCGCATCAGTTTCCACTTTAAATCAACAGATCTTTACTTATTTTGTACAACGAAGGTCTTTCCTAAGTTCCTGCTACCATTTCAATCTCAAGCAAGCTTTCAAAGTGAACACTTTGGTCCTATGACTATGCAGCACGGTCGCTGTCACTGGTCGCGCGCTCTTTGACAAGTCAGCGGTCGCGCATGCTCATGCAAAAAAGACCCCTGTTGCTAATACCCAGACAACAGAAATTGTTACCCCGTAGACCCAATTTTTGATAACTCAATGCCAGAATGGACGAAATGTCGCATGCATCCGATCTAACGAAATTACGGTTATGTTTGTAAGAGAGGTAAGAAGAAACCAGTAGAAAACAAACGACACTGTGTTGTCTCCTTTCCAAGTTAACCTTACACTTAAAATTTTGCATCCCATTCTTAGAAAGAGAATATTAGAACAGTTACTGGAAATTCCTCCAACCAACATGTCAGCTACAGTCAAGTTTATAACCAAGTACATACTACGAGAGTGAAGAGTTCTGTTCTTTATAAAAATGATGATTGATAGAAGGTTCACTGTTACTACAGCAACGGACACTGTTAGGAATGTAGCAAACCAGGTGATACACTCGGGTGAGGAAAGCATCGTGGATTGTAAAAGGATTAAATAAAAATCGGCTAACCTTGCTTAAAACCGGTGTTTTTCTTCTTTCCTGTGTGGTTTCCGAGCCGATTTATGGCCATTTTTAAATGGGTGTTATTGGAACCGGTTTGCTCTAGATCGATTGATTCATTTCAAACCCTTTAGGTTCCACGCTGTACCTCTGTTCAAATTGTCTTATGTTCTTTCTCTAAATGAGATTTATTTTAAAACAATCTGCCTTTTTATGCACGATGTATCCAATAATGTAACACCTCCAAACGTTTCCAGCTTATTTACCTATTCTTCAAAAGTACATCATCATAATACACGATTTTCTGCGGCTGGCAATTTCTATATTAAGCACTCGAGAACTAACCATATGAAGAACTCCTTTTCAAGAATTGGTGTAAAAATATCGAATAGTATTCCCGACAGTGATCGTGCTCTACCTAAATATAAATTTAAGAATACCCTACACAGTAGGCTACTGGATATTTTGATACTTATGTTGGCACGCGTACTTTAATTGACATATTTAGTAAAAATATGAATTTCACTCATACCTTGTTTCATTTACCTATTTTTAAGTATACAGGTGTATGTATTTACTGTTTAGTGGATTCAATATCTCGATGTTCGTGTATCTGTGTAATTTTATTGTTATGTTTCAACCCTGTTATTGTAACATTTTTACTTTTCCTTCCCGCCTCGATTAGCTATAGGCTACTTTGCGGGCAAGGATTAATTATGGTTTGTATCAGAAGGGTTTTTTGAACCTCTAGATCTCTCTATAATAGATTCCCGCGTGACGAGATTATAAACTCTCTTCACTCGGAATTATCGTTGTTAACTAATGCATCGGTTTGATAATCAGTGAAACTGCCACTCAGACAAGTGGCCAATAATGCCAACACTCGAGTGGTTTTCTGTCTGTTGTATTGTATCAGAACAATAGTGTGACTTCAATGAGAGCTCCCGAAGTTACTTTTAGGGTATCGGCATGAATACATTGATGGCAACAGAATCGAAAGGGTCACAGTTTATAAAGCTGCTTGGAGTTTATGTTAGCAGTGATCTGAATTGGACCCATCAAGTAGACTATACATAATTAAAAAGGGAAATAAGAGGCATTAGTCTCTCAGAGTTCTCAAGTAGTTTGATGATCCACCAGCTGAAACCCTCGCAATGCTTGAAACCCTTGCAACCCTCGCAACCCTTGCAACCCTTGCAACCCTCGCAACGCTTGAAACCCTTGCAACGCTTGAAATCCTCGCAACGCTTGAAACCCTTGCAACCCTCGCAACGCTTGAAACCCTTGCAACCCTCGCAATGCTTGAAACCCTCGCAACGCTTGATACCCTTGCAACGCTTGAAACCAGCACTCCCTCCACACGCGCGAAAATTATGAACGAGGCGGAATGAACGTGACACCATATGAACAATATCATTGGTTTGAAACCCTCGCAACCCTTCACACTCTGTGAGCCAATCACAGTAGACCTTAGGATAGCTGCTACAGTACTGTTTGGCCTTCGAGCAATCGGTGGTGGACATTCGGCGGCTTCAAAGTTTTTTAGTTTCCTTGGCCTGGTGCCGATCAACAAAAACGCCTGGGCGGATCATACAAAAAAGATCGAAGGAGAGGCAAAACTTTTGCTCGAGAAACAATTAAACCGTGCTTCTCGTGGTGTAAAAGAGTGGAAGTTTTCCAACGGAGAATTAAACTGTTCACTTGAAGATTTTGATAGCAATAAAAAGTTTGTTCCTGTTACATGTTACCTGTCAAAGTCCTATTGTTAGAGAAAATTGATCCCTCTCTGATATCAATCAGAATAAACATTTAGGTGTTATAATCTCATTCCAGGTAGGATGCCGCCAAAAATGTATTTTCTATTTATCTCCGAACGCAAATTTTGCCGATCGAATCGTACGTTTTGAAGTCCAAGTCGGCAGCCTTTCAATCAATTTGGCTAAAATTTGGCCAGAGTGATGCCATATACCTCTTCTACAAAACAGTGTCTGCGAATTTTAATACTCCTTTTCATTTTAAAGCTAGAGCTTTTTTTCCACAGGGAGTGTTGACTAATTGCCTTCCCCAACTTCATTTGCTAATAAAAGAAAAACAAACGCACTTGTCAAAAATCTGAAACACGGTTTTTTAGTGGAACGTGTTGAGAAGCGAATGCGGTGTTAATTGTTTTCTTCCGTTTATCTCCGGCGGGAGTGGAACATGATTTATAGAGACATGTACTTTTACACAAAGCGTTCCAATTTCGAAACACATTTAAGTAAATCGTTTTTGTTAGTTCAAATCCATAATCTGGAATTATTAAGCTTTTAAAGAATATATGGTTTATAGGGGTTTTTATAAAAACAACTAACGCTATAGCGATCCGCGCGCGGACGGTCCTGAGGGGTGGCTGATACCTTAAAATATTCTGTTGTTCATGCCCTTTCTGTAATCTGAAATCATTAAATTTTCAGTGAGACTCAGCTGAGACCAGGTAGTTTTAGAGTTTTTGCGGTGACAAATGAAAATATGAATACAATGTAGCAGCTTCAAGCATCTCTTGCAGAGGGAGAAAATTAATTCACGTTTTAAACTGTGCAGCAAGATAACTAGCTTCACGATCCGAGAAGTCTGCTGCCTCCGAGTCTACGAAGAGCTAAGGGTTTGCTTAGTAACTGTCAGAATTGTTCTCACCATTGCACCTAAATTATATCGCGCCGCTAAAACATTTTTCATTTTTCACCGAGTTCTCTGCTTTCTGGGTTCTTTCTTACCCTTTCAACAAGTACTGTGCTGGTTGACTGCTCTGGAAACGAGCTGGAAAGCTTTCGCGACAGAGGACAAGGACCGTTCTGTGCTTAATTCAGAGCTGTCAGAAAAAGATCTCCTCAAATGACGGCCTTTTTATATAAGCGAAATACCCGTATGCTGAAAGTGTTCCAATATATCGTGATCCTTGGCTCACTTCCAGGGACTGATTCTCATTTCTTTATTTGTCACGTTTTGAATAAGCAGCACGGAATTGTGAAGCTAAGTTTTTGTTGTTGTAGACAGTTGCAACGTGTTATCATAAGAACAAACGTTTACTATGAACTGCTTTGATCGTTACCTAATAACAAATCGAGAACAATTAATATCTTATAATAAAAGGGTTTCAAACGTCACAACTCGAACCTTCAAACATTTAACATTTGCAAAATATTCAGTGTTATTTGTTGTGTTTTAGAAGAAACATATTTGGCCGGGCAAAATTAAGCTGAGATCAAGCCCAATTTTAGCGGTTCTCATACATTCTCTCTCACCCGCCGGAATGTTATGTTCAAAGCGAAACGAAAATAGAGCCTGATCTCAGGTCAGGCAAAATGGCCATGACTTCCTATAAGAAACAGCTCTTTACCGCTGTTTCTTCATTTTTTTAAAGTTGTCGTTGCTTCGTTTTTTAACTGATCAAACATCAACTTCATTTGTATATATCCAGTAATTTACAGAGGATTGCAAAAAATATTATTTGTAGATCCAGCAACTCCATTCCGAATTGTTTATAATCGTGGCTCTCCGCTGTTGTTCGGTTTGTAAAAGCTATCTGGTTCAGTAGCGTTTTTTGCATGCATTAGTTCCTTGTACTTATAATCACTCAATTCCGGATTTTTAGTCATCAAGGGTTTCTTTAATGATCTTGTGTACTAGATTTCCTTCTTAAAAGTGAAAGAAAACAGAAATTCACCAGGTCATTTGATGGCAAAAACCCACGGCAATTTTAACGTAACTAACTTAAAGGATAAACTACGCAATATAGGCTCAGAAAGGGTTTTAAATTAGAGTTTAATATTAGAAACTAAGACACAAAAAGACAGGTGCTTGTTAGACCAGTGGCACCAGTTTGATGAAGATGAAAATTTTTGACCAAAGACAAGCGGGCGCTCGTTTGCGTCGCTGTAATTGGGTGGCAATTAGCCTGCGGTGCAGGCGTATTTTAGGTGAGCGAAACCTTGTTCGTGTTCGTAATTTTGTTTTAGCCGCCATCTTTGATCTTATGACAGTGGAAGATTGGGGAGAGTAGAAATAGTAACCCTTACGGTACGTGAGAGGGCGAAAGAAGGAAAGGGGGGAGGGGGAGGGGAGTTTCAACATGGCGCTTTCGCGAGCAAATTACGCGCTCAAAGAAAACGCCTGCACTGCAGGCTAGGTGGCAATTTAAAAATGACGCCATATCTATTACGCAGTTAACAATACTGCTCTCATATACACACTTTATTATTATTATTACTTGTAACAAGCTCCATTTACATTAAGTCCATTTCCGCCCGCAAATAGCAGGTGCTAGTCGAGGCGGGGGGATAATAGGTACAGAAAAGAAATGTTAAATGCGTTTATAACTGGGCACAAAGAGACGAAATACAATTGCAGCAAATATCATGTATATTAAACTCAAGATTGATGTATTTTGGTCAAATAGCAACTCTTTGCCCATAAGGCCGCCCCGCACCCTTCCTGAATGGGATCAGGAACAAAATAAGAAAATATCCGCCTGTGCAGGATTCAGAGCAGTGATTGACAGGTAGGTGGTATAAAAGTTTAGAAGTTTGACCAAAAAGTGTTGACATACTGTTCACTAGGTTCCAGTAGTTCAAACGTTGGATAGCGATATCCAGCGGATAAGTATTAGGGAAAGACCAATTGCCTTATCCACTGGATAGAGATCAGGTTTATTCAGTGGAAAGCGTTATCCAACTACTAGGCCTAGAACGTAAGATGAACAACATTTCTTTTCCTTAAAAGTCCCAAAAAGTCTCAGTAGGAGAAGTTGCTCCAAAAAGGCATTTATTGGAATCCTCTAAGTCCCCTCTTTCGTGGCGCATGGAAACGAGGTGCTCATGACCGCTTTTAATTAAATGAAATAGCGGCAACAACAACAAAAAATCCAAGTAGTGTTGCATGCAGTTACGATAATGTTTTTATACCCTTTGAACCTTCATAAAACTTGTCCGTCCAA